TTTTATAGGGAAGAACACTATCAATCTAACTGCTATAAATATGATGATAAAAAGTATTTATAAATCTTTGATTTTTCATTACCATTTTTAATCATAAAAATATTATTTTTCTTTTTTACCCGTGGTTTCCACGGGTTGTAACCTAGTATATATATGTGTGTGTGTGTGAATTTATAGGTTTTATAAGGATATATATGAAATTTTCCAAAAAAAGAAACCAAAGTACTTTCCCTTAAAAGTTGTATAAGTCAATGGAATCTTCATGAATCCATCGTCATCGGGATTTCATTCAACATTTCTAACATAAATTAGAAGAGTCCGAAGAAAATTTGAAAGCTCATTTTAAAGTAAAAGAGGCTACAAATTGTATTTTTATTTATGTTTATGCACTTGTGGCTCTTCTTTAACAATGATTGGACAAAACAGCAGAGCAAGTACAAGCATAAACAATGTTCCTCATAAATGAGTACTACATATTTGATGCATTTCTCCTACATTTGTTAATTCTTTGATTGAACAAATGTAGCCCAGCCCCCAAGGATGTGACACCGTGGAATGTGTCCTAAAGCAGTATGTCATAATAAACAAATATAAAAAAAAAAAAAAAAAAAGTTACCTGACATGTGACTTGATACATAAATGTGAGAATTTTAATCAAAATATCTATTTTTATAATTTATGGGGTCTTATTATGGAAGGAAGTATGATTGAGTTTACATTATTATTTTTGGGTTGATAAAAGTCCAAAATATGGATTTGTTATAGCAGACTGCAATTCATTTCCAGCAAATTTCAACACCGCCATGTCAACTTCACCTCTCGGAAGAAGCAAATACTCGCCACCTTCAATTCTTTCGAACCCACAAACCTCAAGAAACTTAACCCCTTCTTCAAATATCCCCACTCTTTCCTGTTTTTTCAATCACCAATAGCAATGCAGTAATTTCAGTTCTATACACACATAATAGCAAAATACTTTTACTTCTATACACACACACACACACTAGCAATTACCTTAAAAGCTGGATTACTCAATCGGATCTTCCTGAATTTATCCTCATCGGGATTTCTTGCAACATTTCTGACATAAATTAAAAGAGTCTCAAAAGCTCTCTTCACTCTCATATCATTTTCCTGTTTTTGCAACAAATTTAATAAAAAGGTTATTGGATTATAACAAAATATTTATAACAGTAGTAAAACTAAAACGTACCTTATTGTTTCGCCTGAGCGACCTTAAACAGTCTCTCATGAGATCTACCTTTGTTGTTGAATTAACACCGATTCTAGTAGAAGTAACAACAGGCGATATCTGATTTTCAATAATAAAAAAATTCATCATCTTCTTCACAATATTAGACATCAAAACAGGATACATAAGCTAACCTTATTTTCTTGCACCACAGGTATGGTGGTTTTAAGAGATGCATGACTTTGAATTCCCCCTCTTCTTTCCACCTAAGGCATAAAGAGCACTGACTATAAATTTACCAATCTTGGAATTGTACTTTCAATCTTTTTTCTTATGAGGTTAAAATACTTGTAGAAATCTATTGCTTTTTATTTGGATAATATTGATATGATAACAAACAAATCAATGAAAATACGTTGCTATTTCAGGAGCAACCTTGTCCTGGTGTAGTTTCTGACGAATTCGTTCACGTGCTCTATTTTCTTCCTCTTTCTCTGCTTTCCTCAAGGCTATAGAACTGAGTACGATGAAGTAATTAAAGAAGCTTATATAAATACATTAAGAGAAACCAAATTTTTTTATTAAAAAAAAAAAAAAGAACAATTTGGGATTTCTAGAAAAGAGACCGTTTTCTTTCGTTTTCTTCTGCAATTCTCTTTGCCTCTTGAAGTTCTTTTCCTGCCCGAATTCTTTCCTATAAATGTAAAAGAAAGTGATAAAAATGTTCCTTTATATGAGTTTATAGAAACAAACAACTAAAACAAATGAGGAACAAAATGTGTTAATAATAGAGTTAAATGCAACAAATAGTAATTTCAAAGTAAAATTCCTTAAGAGAAAGTACAATGATGTAAGGATGCTATGATATACAAATAAATGAAAGTATGTTGTTATTTCTTGCATTTATCCCTTAATGACACGGTAAGGAAATGTCCACGATACCTTCTCTCTACTTGGTTCCAATTTCATATTTTCCTCCTTGTTCCTTCTGCGTGCTTTATCTCTGAATTGTGCATAAACAGAGGTATTTAAGACAGAAATCAAGCAATCATGGGAGAATAACATTTACCAAAAAAAGACATGAAAAAACCTTAGTTTTTGTGCTTTTAGCTTTACTTCTTCTGATACAGAAGAAGAGTCGGAACTCTCAATTTCAATTCTTAATGGAACCTGGTGGATCAGAACACAATTAATACAGTAATAATATAAAGATATGCAATCTTTTTCAAGAATGTAACAATTATAAAAAACTAATGAATCGCACCGAGGGCATTTGATCAATTTCAGGGTCATCCTCATGATCAACAATCCAACTAATAGCATCCAGTAAACTAGAGTTACCTTCACAAAAGAAATTTTATGCTCTTGTTAACAATAAAAATAAACATCTTTTTTGGGTGTTTTGTCCTATTGTCCGAGTCCAATACATGACAATACTTTATAAAAAGATCCTGCAACAAAAAAGTAGCCAATGAACTAACCGGAATAATGAAGTGCTCTCATTGCTCGAGCCAATGGGAAACCCATTTCTTCAAGTTCACCAAGTAATTTCTTGTTTACTTCAGGAAAATCCATGTCTAATGAACAATACCACACACTACGTGTTAGAGGCAATCAGACATAATCAGGGATATGAAATCCCTTATAAGTTTCAGGCCGGATTCTATATACTAAACCCTAAAAATTAGTCAGTGAATCTCAATCAAAGAATAAATTGACGCGTGCTGTAATTAAGAAGTTAATTCAACTCAACAATGGAATTCTCACCCTTTTTTCTCGATAATACGCGGACAATCAAAGATGAAATGCTGTTGATGATCGATCATTGATTTGGGGAAACCCCGAATGATGAATACAAGTGCCGAAGAGATGACCGACATCGGAAGATTACATGGATGCTGATTCGTTACTTCACCCGACAAACCTTCTGGATTCTTCCCCTCCATCTCTCTGCTGCACAAGCATATACTACAAACTGATTCGTTTTCATATTTATACGAATCCCCAATTTGCCAATTAGACCTTTTTAGTGGGTGACCCGACCGGGACCCACAAATGTTTTTTTTATCCATTTCTTTTAATTTTATAAATCATTAAATTATTAAATCTAGACTAAACCGCACAAATTAACACTTTTATCCAAAAAAGTTTGAACCAGCAGAGGTCCAAACTTTTGGTTTGGTTGTGGGATTTGAATCCAACTTCTATCGATCTTTTTTATAATGACGCCTTTATCTTTTTCTTTTTCAGTTTTTTTATTTACTTAAAATACTTTTCCAATTAAAAAAAAGAAAATCTCTCTCACACACACAAATTTCACAACAAACCCAAAACTAAAATATACACCACTTGTTGTTGCTGTTGCTCTTGCTTTGCTTGAGACCACCATGTTTCTTTTTTCTTTTTGACAACGACCGATGACCACCTTGCTCCATCAAAAACCACCGCCATCCTCCATCATACCGTGACTGTCGGAAAAATAAAGACAAAGGGTGGAGATTGCTGCCTTCGTTCCAACATCCACCATCGTTCCCCCCTCCGCTCTCTTCTGTTCCGACAACCAGCCACCGCCTCCGTTTGTTCTCTTTTTTTCTGTTGACCGGAGCAAGCCCAAAACACCCCACTGCTACCTCCTTTGACCACCACATCTTCCTCCATCACTGATGCTACCCACCTGCCGACTACCGTTCCGACATCCACCCACCATCGCACACATTACCACTGAAGGAAGAGAAACAAACCTCGAAAAGCAGTTTGAAACGCCGACTGCCACTACCCCAGACGACCCACTCTGCCATCACCAACCGCAGCCACCATCTCCGACTGCCACTGCAAATCCCGACCGGACATCCCCTGTCGCAACACAACAGGACACCACCACCCTTCTCTTTCCTTTTCCGAACTTCATCTATTTTTTGGGTTTAGAAATCTTGGTTCTCTCCTTTTCTTGAACATACACATAAACACGATTTCTTGAAATTGATGGTTCATCTTCAGTTTGCAGGTCCAAATGAGTTTCAAGAACAAATATTTGAATCCCCAAATCAAATCCTGAAAACATCTGGGTTCAAGAACAAATCCAGAAAACAGATATGTTCACCCCTTTCTTATCAAAACCCTAGCTTTGTGGGTTTTCGATTCTGATTTGGGAAGATTGCCATCTAATCCGTGTACAACAAAATCTCTACTGTAGAACATGCCATGAAGAATGATATCAAGACATCTAATTGTAATCAATGATATCAGATCTCGTCACTGAAAAGAGATGGCTTCCAAATCTGTTGTGAAAAACAAGAACCATGGTAATCAAGTGGTATTTGCTCTTCTAATCTTAGAAAAAGAAAGTGGTTTCAAGATCTGTTTTTCAAGAACAATAATCAAGAAACACGTTCAAGAACGAAAATGAAAAAAAAGATCGAAGATTTGACTCATCTGGCCGGATCTCCCATTCATTTACCATCTTCGGCGCGGTGACTAAGCTCCCGTCCATGGAAGTCACCTTTGGTGCTCTGTTCCTCACACACATTTTGTTCCAGTTCCTTTTCTCGATTTTGTTCCAGATGTAGGCTATTGAAGGGTTTACTGTTATGGTGATATATGATTATTAGAGAGATATTGAGATTTTCTTTCTTTTTTTTAATTGGAAAAGTATTTTAAGTAAATAAATAAACTGAAAAATAAAAAGATATGGGCAAAATTGTCATTATAAAAAAGATCAAAGTTGGACCAAAATCGCAACAAAATGAAAATTTTAGACCTTAGTCCAAACTTTTTTGGACCAAAGTGACAATTTCAGCTAACCACAGAGACCATTTGTGCAGTTTAGCCTTTACGAATACACCATGAATTATTGATAACTTTTTAATTTGTTCGACTTACCTAAATGTTTAGTTTAAACATTTAGATTCGTTAAAAATAAAACAAAACGTAGATAAACATATTATAGATAAAATAGCTTGGAAATATTATTCATGTCTGATAATGATTTTTGAACTTTAGAAAAACTTGTCTTTTATAAAAGACCTCAAAATTAAATAAGTATTCGACAAGAATACACCGTTTTACAAGGTGATATAAAACTCATAAATGGATTACATTTATTACTGACAATATTAAAATTCAGTTCGCAACCAATATTAAGTACAAAAATTGGAGATATATTTTGATTTTTCAAGAAAAACATAGAGGAGTGTAAAACTAGTTTCTTTATTCATTATGTACCATTGAAATATAAATAATAAAAACAATAAAAATTGCTATAAAATTGTTTGAAAATATATACGACACAACGAATAGTGACACTCTTAATAATACAGACTTTTTAGAAAATAAATAAATAAATGACCTAGTTTATTATTCATCAAAGCTTGATTATTTAATTAGAAACTATAAAATATTGACTTATTTTGTAATTAAGTAAATTTTAAATTTAAAAAATACATATAAAGATAATTATAATTAGCCTAGTTTAAACCTAAGCAAGTAAGAGATTGTACAATTACAAAATGTATCCTTTAACCCTTAAGAGAGTATCATAAATTTGACACACACACTCTCTCTCTCACACACACACACGAAGTCACACACACAAACCCTGAATAGAATTTTTGCGACTTGGAGAAAAATCAACACACAGATTTTGTGTTTGATTGAATGGCTACTTTGGGTGCAACTGTGATTGGGAGATTCTAATTTGAATCCTTATTTCTTCTTGATCATTGAATTAAAGTAAACACACAAACATATTGTTGTGGAAATTTTTAATGAACACAAAGATTACTTGATCTTGATGGTTTTATTTTATTGCTTCTGATTGCATGTTTAGTTTGATGTATTTTATTTTTAAATAACCATCAAAGTCCAAGAAAAACACCTTCAAAAAAGATAGAGATGATAATTTCATCACATAGTTTTATATAAAGAAAATGGTGCAAATATTTAATTATGGCACAAGAGAAAAACTTAAATTAAGATTCATTTCAATATAAACTTTTAGGAAATAAAGTACAAAAGGTAAGAACAAGATACGAGATTAAGTACATCACCAAAATACAACTTAATGCACTATATGAGAATGTTAAGATACTTCACCGTATTACCACACTAGTCATAATTCATATACTTTATTCTAACATTATCATACTTTTGATTAATGAAATTACTAAATTACCACTCATGGCATTCTGGAGGAGGCACTCGATACCTAGCTCCATCGGTACAATAGTCATAATTCATATACCTTCTTTTCACATTCTCATAAGCTCTTAATTGACGGTTGTTTAATTGCCAAAACCTTTGGTTATTCCATGGATACCTTGAGGAATAGCAGTCCTTATTAGGACTATTGGGTGATGAGACACATCCATCAATTCTAAAATCTTGAAAATGAGCTAGAAATGGCGCATGAGCCCAATTAGCCTTGGTTTTACCACCATCGGTGGCCCAACTAGACCCATCCCATAAGCTTACAACCAGTTGCATTGCTTTGTTAGGAAACCCCACACCATTCATCATGTCGTTTTTGAATACCCTTATTGGTATGTCATCCACAAAAAACCTTGAAACAAGATTACAACATAGTTAGGCCTTATTTAACAATGTTTTTGTATGTTAAGAACTAGTTGTAAATC